GCAAGCATATACTCCGAAACGTTGTGTTCCCCACAATAAAGAAGCTGACATCCATAAATTCTCTTCCTTACAAGGGACTATCCATTAAATACTCCCGGGTTACATAATGGTTTTCAGTCAACACATGGAGACAAGTATTTATCGTGCCATATTTAGATAGGATCATCTACGTTGAGGAATTTATGAGCCAAAAACAAGTTTAGGCACCTACGGGAGCATATTCGATTTTGATATTGTCGAAAATCCTGAGAATATTCTTATAATCATTCTGGGGAACTTATTACTTTGAAATGTTACAGATCCCCCAGCCCTCTCTCTCTCTCTCTCTCTCTCTCTCTCTCTCTCTCTCTCTCTCTCACACACACACACACACACATACACTCACACGCACAGACACGCACACACACACACACGCGCAGACACACACACACTCACACGCACACACACACACGCACGCACACACACACACACACGCACGCACACACACACACACACACACACACACACACACACACACACACACACACACACACACACACACACAATGTATAAACACATCGCCATCACCACCGCCAGAATTACCATACGGCAGTTCCTAAATCCCATATCCTCGTTGTACATGTTCAGTTATCAACAGATTGATCATTTCTGTCCACGTATGTTATGTGGTTGAATATAAAGGCAAAATCCATCATTGGTGAAAACCTCCCTCAGTCTGAAGCCGGATGATTGTGGCATCACCACGACCAAATTTGATCAGATCGGCGGTCACTTGACACTAGTTCCACTCTCTTCTTCCAATCGGAACAAATTGATTCATTAGACCGTCGCGTTAAGAACTAGCGTCACACTAGCCTCCTTCCGTCATGAACTTTAGAGATTTTATTGAAGGCTTTTCGCATGGGGGGCTAAAAATACCCGCTAATTCCTCTCCCAATAAACCCGATCGTTGTCACATCCTCCGCACGTTCCTGTTCGCTGTGGCGATGGGATATGCTAGGGGGCATTTCATTATCTTTTGAAATCCCACTTCAACTAAAGTGGTCTTTGCATTGAGATCAAACTACCCTATCGTCTTCATTATATTATTCCAGTACCCTGACGTCAGAAACTGATTAAGTATCGACAATTGTCTCTTGTAAAAACTTGGGAATTCGGCCCTTCACATGGAAACAGACGTGCCGCCATTATCATTGGATGCTGAAATAGCTTAGTCGGCGATAACAAATGGTAGACAATTTATTGCGAAAATTCTCTAGGGATAGTAAAGTAGCAATTTGGGCGTTAGTTTGGAATGAACAAGGTCTAAGTTCGATCCCTGGAATGGGGAGTTCGTGCGTTAGTTATAGTTGAAGTCGGTGATGGAGAAATAGATTCATCGTAAGGCTGCGTCGTTTTTGCTGTTGTTTCTATCGACTTGGGTGACGGGCCGTCACTATGGCAATGCACACAAAGCCCAATCGAATTTTTAGATCTTAATTCCAGCTCCAGCTGTAACCATGTCCGTACGCTGGCTCCCTTCTTAGATGCTTGTTTTCTTAAAATCCCGTCGTGCAAGAAAGCGTTTGTCGTGGTTTCGATTTTGGTCCTCCTTGATTACGTGTGTTGGTTGTCAGCACCTTACCCGTGCTCGTGGGTTTCACCAAAGTTGTAAACGTCTAACACCTGCATTACTTCGGGCTTTCCTCCCACATCAAGCTGAGACGCCGTTTTACATGATCATACTCCCCAAGAGCGGCGTAAAATACAACTCACTCATCTTGGTAGTGAAACAGAAACGTAAGTATTGAGTGAGTGAGTTGGGTTTAACGCCACTTTTAACAGTATTCCAGTTATATCGCGGCGTGTCAGCTTAATGTGGGAGGAAAGCCCGAAGTGATGGAGGTCTCAGACGTTTACCACTTTGGTGAAACCCACGAGCACGGGTATGGTGCTGACAAACCTAGAAACATAATCGGGGCGAACCGGGATTCGAACCCACAATCATAGGTTTCTAGCGTGCCCAAGGGACGCAACTCTGCACAGGCAATCGCGGCGCCTTAGACGACTGGGCCACCCGTGCCCCCACGTAAGTATTGATCTTATCACATGAAAACATTAGATGTGAAGGAACAGCAGTTGGAATGTATAGGAAACACATAGGTGGATGAGTGGGTGAGAACGTGAGGATGGCTTTACGCTGCTTTGAGCTATATTCCATTAACATCAAACGGGAGACACCAGAAATAGGCTTCACACATTGTACCCAGGTGGGGAATCAAACACGGGACCTCGGCATGATAAGCAAACGATTTAACCACCGCCCACCAAGTAGATTAACAATGAATTCGTGATCAAGAGAAGAGTACTGCGGTTACCCTGCAATTAGACGGAAATATAACGAAAACGTTAATCCGGGCGGTAGTAAGTCAATGAAGTTGACATGATTAACAAGGCACGCGAGTGGGCCAGACGTCAGAGGCGCCGCAACACACCTAGCTGGGTTGCGTCCCTTGGGCGCGCCAGAAAGCTATGTTGTTCGAATCCCGGTTCGCCCAGATTATGTTTCTAGGTTTGTCGGCTACATACCCGTGCTCGTGGGTTTAAACAAAGTGGTAAACGTCTGAGACCTGCTCCACCTTGGGCTTCCCTCTGATATTAAACTTACACGCTGTGATAGAACTGGAATACCAACTGTTAGAATAATAAAATGAGTGAAAAAGGCAGACTTTTCCAGCTTCAAATAAAAGGTTAGCATCAGCGTGTCATTCGGTGACCCAGTATGAACTTGTTACCATAAGTTTGGAATATGTTTTTGTGTACAGCTTGGGTCATAGACTTGCCCATGTTCAATTATTAGAAAAGCGCTTCAAAAATCTAAAATCAGCATTTATGACACATTTTATTCTTAATTGTAAATTTAAAGTCCGAAACATCAATTGTTGATATCAAGTTAAGTTCTCATTTCATTGAACATATTTGAAACATTTCATAACGATTTTAAAAAGTTCGGATCAGTTCTTAAATTATGCAGATCCTTTTCACCACTTTACGAGTCTCATGTCAAAACCAGCATGAACAGAGACAGTATTCAATATAGGGGCTTGTGAGAATGGTTTGAGGCGTGGTTGAGCAATATTCCAGCAGGACCACATCGGGGAGCTCCAGAAAATGGCATCACACATTGCATTCACGTGACGGCTGAGTGAGCGTTTTTTTACGCCGCTTTTCGCAATATTCCAGGACATTCACGCCAGGGAAAAACGGTATTGGCATCCCGCATTGTACCCAAGTGATGAATCGAACCCCTGTGCTTTGACCAATGGGCTACCCCACCGCCCCTATCGGATTATGACTTCTGACGTTGTTTGATAAGAATTGGAAGGCCTCGCGTGCCATTTTCCTCACGAGCGAGTCTTTAAGACAGACAACGCATATACCTCACCTCTTTGTTCTAGCCTGTTTGGAATTACCCTGAAGGCCATGTCTGATCTGCATCACAAGTGACATTTAATAACGAGCGTTGCTATATCACTGGCCAACAACGTCTATTTTGGGGTCGGTACACCTCCGGGCAGTGTGGTCATGTTATCCCAATTGTCCCCGCAGGCTAAAGCGTCCAACATCCTACCCGGTGCCACTGGTTTGTTTTCAAAAGGCATATCTAGGCAAATAGGAGATCAATGTCTGGGCAGATAGAATATCGGTGTCTGGGCAGATAGACTAAGACTATCACTGTCTTGGAATATAGAGTAAGTGTATATGAAGGTAGAATAAGTGTAAGTGAAGGTAGAATAAGTGTAAGTGAAGGTTGAATAAGTGTGTGTGAAGGTAGAATAAGTGTGTGTGAAGGTAGAATAGGTGTGTGTGAAGGTAGAATAAGTATGTGAAGGTAGAATAAGTGTAAGTGAAGGTAGAATAAGTGTGTGTGAAGGTAGAATAAGCGTAAGTGAAGGTAGAATAAGTGTGAGGGTAGAATAGTGTTAGTGAAGGTAGAATAAGTGTTAGTGAAGGTAGAATAAGTGTGTGTGAAGGTAGAATACGTGTGTGTGAAGGTAGAATAAGTGTATGTGAAGGTAGAATAAGTGAAAGAGAAGGTAAAATAAGTGTAAATTAGGGTAGAATAAGTGTGTGGATGGTAAAATAAGTGTGTGAAGGTAGAATTAGTGTGTGTAAAGGTAGAATAAGTGTGTGTAAAGGTAGATTATGTGGTAGTGAAGTTAGAATAAGTGTGTGTTAAGGTAGAATAAGTGTGTGTGTGAAGGTAGAATATATGTGTGTGAAGGTAGAATAAGTGTAAGTGAGGGTAGAATAAGTGTGTGTGAAGGTAGAATAAGTGTAAGTGAGGGTAGAATAAGTGTGTGTGAAGGTAGAATAAGTGTGTGTGAAGGTAGAATAAGTGTGTGAAGGTAGAATATGTGTGTGTGAAGGTAGAATAAGTATGTAAAGGTAGAATAAGTGTGTGTGAAGGTAGAATATGTGTAAGTAAAGGTAGAATAAGTGTGTGTGAAGGTAGAATAAGTGTGTGTGAAGGTAGAATAAGTGAAAGAGAAGGTAAAAATAAGTGTAAATTAAGGTAGAATAAGTGTGTTGATGGTAAAATAAGTGTGTGAAGGCAGAATTAGTGTGTGTAAAGGTAGAATAAGTGTGTGTAATGGTAGATTATGTGTAAGTGAAGTTAGAATAAGTCTGTGTTAAGGTAGAATATATGTGTGTGAAGGTAGAATAAGTGTAAGTGAGGGTAGAATAAGTGTGTGTGAAGGTAGAATAAGTGTGTGTGAAGGTAGAATAAGTGTGTGTAAAGGTAGAATAAGTGTGTGTGAAGGTAGAATATGTGTAAGTAAAGGTAGAATAAGTGTATGCGAAGGTAGAATGAGTGAAAGTGAAGGTAGAACAAGTGTAAGAATCAGTGTTTAGAAAGAAGGGGACAGGTGACACAACAATGTATAAAAAAATACAGTACTGTTAGGAATCAAACTCTCTCTATGCACACGTTACAGTATCGAAAACACAAACCAAAGTTAAAACAAATGAAAATTTATTAAAAATACTGTACAAAAATAGTACGCTTCTTTAAAAGACTGTCATCATATCAACTTAAAGATATAAAATCACTCGTCCAGCCAGGACTAAAATATACATTTAACTTACACAATCTCTGGGCTGGAAGAGCAATGGCTAAAAAGAACTACTAACAAACAAACTAGTGTAGGTTTGTTTTTTTGTTGGTTAATGCCCCACTCTGCAAATATTCCAGTTAAATGACAGCAGTCTGTAAACAATCAAGTCTGGACCAGATACTCCACTGACTGATATTATGAGCATCAATTCAAGCAATTTGGATACGCTGACATGTAAGTAAGTCACAAGACTGACCACCCAATGCATCAAGTCACCTCTTAAGACAAACACAGGTTGCTGAGGATTGCCTCTTAAGAAAAACCTGGGTTGCTGGGGGATCTTTATTCCAACCCAGAATCCCCACGAATGTAGATCCAAATTCTTGAGTTTCTGTCTAAAAACTTTATTTCAGTTAAACTTCTATCACTGATGATAGTTAAAACAGTTGAAAAGCCTTCATGACAAAATGCATATGAATGTGATGATGCGACCCTGAGCTCATCACTGACTATCCAGGGTATTTTGTCTCTATCATCATCATCATAATAATAAGTGCTATGTGGAGAAATAAACAATCAATCATGTTTCATATCCTCGTACTTCAATTATGTGATGTAACTTCAACTATTGAAAGAAACTCTAGATAATCCAGGGTAATATTCTGTTCTAGTTTTGTTGAAATTATACTCTTGAGTAGAACCATTTTATACCACTTATTATTATGATTATTATTATGATTATTATTACAGCACTAAGAGAACAATCATTTCATTTTGGGGGTCTGTGGTCTATCTACCAACACAAAATATAATGACATTTTTTTAAAATCCACAATATATTTAAAAACCTTGCTTTCTTTTATCAATTAAAGTATCTCATAAAGAATTAAAAGAAAAATTATTCTTTTCCTCGTTTGATTTTTTTCTTATCACAATATCACAGTTTGTGTCGCTGGTAGATAACATGAATGGCCCTTGCTGCCAAGGCCTCTGATATTTTCAGTGCAGGCACCACTTTTAACATCTCAGTTTTATTCACTGATTGGCATAATCATGTCTCTCTTAACATGCTTTATAAGACAATTTAGATATAATTACCTGCTTTCAAATTCCATTACGGTAAATCTAACAATAGTCAATTATACAAATGAAGGAATCAGGTCTTAGCAATCATACTTTGAGCAATTGGAATGAAGGAATATTTAAATATGTCGTTATTCATTGAGGTGTCTATGAGAGCCATTGACCAATCAGCTTCTGTATTGTCGCTCTGGCTTGAACCAGTTCTGGCAGGTCGGTGTCGGTTGGAGGGTACATGTTGGCACAATGAGCAGTTCCTGAAACACAGAACATCACAAGCTTCAACCTGCATCTGCATGTACATTGATTGGGGTGTGAGTGAAAGAAGTTCTATTCCCAAGACAGTTATAGCCATATTGGCATGCAGATGTAATCAAGTCAAGTTCAACAACAGCGTGAGACCAAATTAATAATGGTGGGCTGACCCTTGATTTATGTAAAAATCTGTTCCGTAGAGCCTCAGTCACAGACAATGTGACCGCGATGCAACCTCCTTGCGACCAAAATATTTGACAATCGCAACAAGGTTTCATGGGTCTCTGAAAGGTTTGAGAGGTGTCGCAAAACCCATTCGGTCTCGCAACCAGTCTTTTGAACATGCACAGAGGTTTCCACTGTGTGGCGATTGGTTTCGTCTACTCAAGGATGATGACTCTTTGTAACCTAGTGGCGACCTATCGGTGATTGATCAGTGAGGAGGTGATTGACTGGTGCTTCATCGTCTGAGTCCAGGTCTTACATACACAAAAATCGATTGTATGTTTTAAAGCACAGACTGAAAATATTCTGTCATTAAATAGTGATAGATAAATGCCTGTTAAACATAGAAGGGACGTCATTCTGATTGGTCGATGAAAATGGACGTTAATCTGATTGGTTAATGAAGACAGGTCAGTATAAATTCTAGATACCCGGATATCAGTAGAAAAGCTTCTTTTATTTACACAGACGTTCACAGGAGTCAAGCAGTTGGTCAAAACAATATGACAGTGTGTTTCAGTGTTACTGTAGGTTTATAACTCATTTCATTACCTACAAGGGCAAACAAATCGGGGTTCATAAAAATCATATGTGACCTAGGGTCATATTATATCATGAAAAAAACAACAACAGTGAATTGTTTCCGTCATCCGGACCGCATTGTTGACGTCACACTAGAAACGATATAAAAGCTAAAGATTGTTGACGTCATTCGACAAATTGTGGTACCGCTGCTGGTGTCACTTGCTGTCGTTATAGGTAAACACTAAAAAGGGTCTCTGTATGTAGACATCTTCTTTGGTTATAAATAGAACAAGACCGCCTCCATGGTCTAATGGTAGAGCGTCCGCCTGGAGAGTGGAAGGTCCGGGGTTCGATCCCCGGCCGCGTCATACCAAAAGACGTTAAAAGATGGTACTTGTTGTTACCCTGTCTGGCGCTCGGCATTAAGGGGCTAAAACAAGGACTGGTCGCCTCGGAGTCTACTGTGTCTGAGTGGGGTATTCATGTTAAAATGCGGCATGGTATCTCAGTGTGCTAGCACTATAAATCGGCATCAGACTAGTACAAGCAGCCACACACACACACACACACACACACACGTGCATGCACATCGCTATATAAGTTCAATACCTATAAATAGAACATTATATAAGTGTTCATGTCATATAATGTTTATGACACTCGTGCCTAAATTCCAGTATTCCGCAAGCGGAAAATACCAGAACTTAGACACAAGTGGTGTAAACATAGTATGACATGAACACTCATATAATATCCGCTACGTATTTCCCATATTATTAACCCCTTCTTCCTCTTCAGGGTTTTTAGACTTTTCTGTCTAAATTCCCACCAACCAGAATAATAAATGCACGGTCCCTTATATACGTTGTCTGTATATTTCTGAATTCTTATCCATCAGAGAAAACCATCACAGACAGAATCATAACTACATTTATCCTACATTCTGCAAAAGCCTTTAGCCATCAAGTAAAAAATTATAACCTTATAACCGTGACCTTAATATGCCTAAATACCTTATTTATTCTTATGCATTGACGTGTCTACTACAACACAACAGGGACAGAAATGTATTTTGTTTCAATTTGGGGGGAGGAGCCATGAGGTTCAAACCACCCCCTGATAAATCATGTGAATATTTTGTATTATTGAAATATTGGCAATCACCTTCAACAAGGACACATTAGTTATCCAAAAATTCAAAATTTGGAATATTCACTGACATATGCTGCAGGTTTGTGGTCAAATATCGGGATAAAAGCAGCTCTAGATATATCCCTGAAATTAGTTTACCGTTTATAAAGACTGCAGTGGCATCGGGTCCCAGGTCTTCTGTGATTCCAAGAGCGTGCCAAGGGTCGATGGAACCATTCGGGAAGACAACTTTAGTAATTTTGATTCCATAGGCTCCGTAGTTGGTGTTGGTGCGGTTGATGCCATGCTGTATCAGGTCAGCATTGAACTTGGACCCGAAGATGTCCATACACTGTTGCACTGAGAAGCTGAAATACATGGACATATTTACTTGGGTTGCCATGATTTACTGATGAAATCAATCACATATTTACTCCTGACAATGAGACATGGCCAGCAATGTATTGATTCATGTATTGTGATAAGTTTCAAATTTTCAAAAAGTTATCTTTACTAAGGTTTTCAACAGTCTGTTAACTAGTTGGGCTGCCATAACTTCCCTGCCTATCACAAACCCTATAAGTGAATGCATCATAATAGTTAAGAACAAACAAGTTCAAGGCAATGTGGTGGAGGCAGGGCTAAGGGAGACTACTCTGCAAGTACTGGCCATCCTTGCCCCACACAGACCAAACTCCTGGAAGTGTGACCAAGTCTCAACACCAGAGGTAAGTAGAACCACAATGTACCAACGTGAATACTTTTTTTAAACAAAACAAGACAAAACATGAAAAAGTTGCCAAATGAGAATCATTAGTTAAGCTTGGTTAGTCTGTAAGTGTGTGCATGTGCATGTGCATGCTTTTTTTTTTTTTATTCCAAATCTATGTAAGCTGTAACTGGACCTGACAATCCAGTGATCGACACCATTACCAATTATCCATGCTGTCACAGCATACTGACACAACATCCACCAAGTCACCGCACCTGATCACCCAATCCATCAAAATGCTTTATATGACCAGCATAGGTTGTAAGGGACCAACTACCTGGGATCCCCACAGGTTCCGGACATAGTCACCTCTTACAACTAGCAATGGAGCTTTGAGGACAAACTCCACCCCGGGGTAAAGACTGAGGTTGTTAGGGACCAACTACCCGGGATCCCCACATGTTCCGGACATAGTCACCTCCTACAACTAGCAATGGAGCTTTGAGGACAAACTCCACCCCGGGGTAAAGACTGAGGTTGTTAGGGACCAACTACCCGGGATCCCCACATGTTCCGGACATAGTCACCTCCTACAACTAGCAATGGAGCTTTGAGGACAAACTCCACCCCAGGGTAAAGACTGAGGTTGTTAGGGACCAACTACCCGGGATCCCCACATGTTCCGGACATAGTCACCTCCTACAACTAGCAATGGAGCTTTGAGGACAAACTCCACCCCGGGGTAAAGAGTGAGGTTGTTAGGGACCAACTACCTGGGATCGCCACAGGTTCCGGACATAGTCACCTCTTACAACTAGCAATGGAGCTTTGAGGACAAACTCCATCCTGGGGTGAAGAGTGAGGTTGTTAGGGACCAACTACCCGGGATCCCCACAGGTTCCGGACATAGTCACCTCCTACAACTAGCAATGGAGCTTTGAGGACAAACTCAACCCCGGGGTGAAGAGTGAGGTTGTTAGGGACCAACTACCCGGGATCCCCACAGGTTCCGGACATAGTCACCTCCTACAACTAGCAATGGACCTTTGAGGACAAACTCCATCCTGGGGTGAAGAGTGAGGTTGTTAGGGACCAACTACCCGGGATCCCCACAGGTTCCGGACATAGTCACCTCCTACAACTAGCAATGGAGCTTTGAGGACAAACTCCACCCCTGGGAAAGACTGACAGGTTGTGTAGTAGCTTTACACCCACCTGACAGGGAAGTTGTGGCCAAAGGGCTGATCGTCTAAATCTGAAGACTGGAAGAAGCCAAACTCTGTACAGGTCTGGTAAGTCCACTGGCGACCTGGAACAGAAAATAGACTTTGACTAAAAAGAAAGAATTACAATTCTATCTATGACTCACCCTCGATATCTCCAGGGCTCACATGTCGGTAAACCTTTCCTAACCGTTAGATCCATCCCCTTGGTTCTCAAGATCTCAAATTACCCATGCTTGCTTTTCATCAGCATTTTACCGACTAATCAAACATAGAGATAATGAAACAGGAAAAGGGTCAATGAATATTTGGATGGCTCCAGGCAGCCCTGCGAGGATTTGGTTTTGCTAAATAATTTTACTGTGTGCAGTGAATCAAGTTTCTGACCGTTTTCGGTTTTATTTGACATCATGGCAAAGTACTTTTCCATCTTTGCACCGCAAAAAAAGAATCGTAGCATCGAAGGGTGTGAGTCAGAATGATGATGATGACCTTTGATCAAATAAAAGTGATGGATGACAAGATTCTGAGCTGAAAGACGCAAATAAAGACATGGAGAAACTGTCCATGCAGCTGACATTTGAAAGTAAATCAAAACTAGTTGTGGAAACAACATAAAGCAATTAGTGGCTAATGAAGCATGCATGGATAGTGTATGATTCCAAGACTATTGCTATGACTTTTAGATTTTATAATAGGAATTTGATTTAAATGCTTTTAAAATTCTAAATATTTTTGTCTTCACTTTCTTGATTTCGGCTTGATTTTGCCAGTGGCTACATGGAAAAAATGTATTTGTAGCAATATTGCTACTTTGTAAAAAATAAACGTTGAGGCCCGGGATTGTATGTATTTTTGTATATTTGTACATGTATTATAGGTGTGATGATGACAATAGTGGTGGTGATGATGATGATGTTGATGATGATGATGATGTTTTTGCCCACCTCCCTCTGAAGCACTGCTGTTCCAGTCAGTCATCTTCAAGCCATCAATCATCTTGGAGTAGACAAAGTCGACACACTTCTGTTCATATGTGGTCATGAGGAGGTTGTTGACCTTGGCGTAGCGCTCGATGGGAGTGATGGAGGAGTCAGTCATCAAGCCACACAGTGTGTCCACCGTGATGTTGGCCCCCGCTCCCCCCTGCAACAATACACTCAATACATCATGTTGTCAAGGTGATGTTGGTCCCCACTCCCCCTTCAACAATACATTTAATACATCATGTTGTCATGGAGACGTTGGTCCCAACTCCCCCTGCAACAATACACTTAGTGCATCATGTTGTCATGGTGACATTGGTCCTACTCCCCCCTGCAACAATACATTCAATACCGGTACATCATGTTGTCATGGTGATGTTGGCCCCCACTCCCCCCTGCAACAATACACTTAATACATCATGTTGTCAAGGTGATGTTGGTCCCCACTCCCCACAAAATACATGTTGATGCTAAGCAAAAAAAAGGGATTCTGAAAAGGTCCATAGCATTGTGATGTCATATGAACACATTGTCCAAACAAATACTTGACGATCGATTGTTCAATATGTCATGACGATGCTATGTAATAATATTCCCACAGAGGAGCAACTGAGCTGATGAATCCATCTGAGATCAGGAAACCAACATTTTTAACAGTTTTGCAGAAAAAATACAATTAAAGGAAAGAAAGAATATCCTATTCGCAACTCAAAACTTATGGATTATCTGTCCATCGCCAAGGCTTGGATCTTACAAAATAAATTCACTTGTATAATGTGTAATTCCTCATTGCTTGAAGGTATTTCTCCTAGTACATCACACACTGACCTCAAATGCCCTGTTGTCCTTGTTGTACTGCACGACACCTTCAAAGTTGCCGGCCAGGGTCTGGTACAGGTTAGCTACATCGTTGGCGTTTCCAACGTCGATGTCATCACACAGACTGAGACAGAAAACAACCTTTCTTAGAGCTGGGTTTTATATAGCATTCCTTTCAGGGCCAGACACGGCACCTTAAATTAACATAATTGCTTCAATATGTCAAAATCGAGATTTTGATTTTTTTCGCATATATAATACATGTACTTTGTGATGCAACATGTTTTTTACGAGATTGTGTACATTTACTGAATAAAAAACGTTATTAAAATCATAATGTGTGGTATTGTTTTTAAATATGATCGTAATCAATGTGGAAAAACCTGAACTTTCACCCATGACAACCACCCCGCAGCTGTAACGAACCCCTTCATGTTATACATCGATAGAAAGCTGATCGTTTCCGCCATCTTTCTGTGCAAAAACATTCTAAAAATAGATATTCCACGTGAGGCTATCGTCGGTTTTTCCCGCGAGACATTCGTACGTAAATTACCATTTAAGGAGAAATATCCCGTAATGCAACATTCGGGAATATTCGTTCGATCCAAATAAAGTAAAACGTATCCCACAATGCACCATTCGGCTTAGCAACAAAACACCGGTCTTTTCCGGTAGGTATACAAAATGGCGGCTGCTTTGCGAAAAGATTGACAGGCAAACATCGTTTTTGATATTTTCTTAACTGAAAATTGTTGTATTTTTTTAAAATGAGGTCAAAACACGGGTCACAACACGCCTATGTTAGAATAGGAGGCGAAGGGCAAGTCAGTTGAAGCAGGCACGTTCGGAATGCGGTGTTAGAGTTACGACCCGTGTTGACAGCGCGATCATCCCTGTGTCAGATTCTGACAGCTTGGACGTTTTAGATGCATCGGAATCATCCGGGGACCACGCCGTTGGGGAAAACATCCCCGTTGGAGACAATGAAGGTGAGAATTCTTTTTTATTGAATGCAACTTCACGCAGCGACATAAAACTATCAAAATTTAAAGCTGCTGAAAATATCAAATCTCCCGTGCTTGACAGTGATGAACCAAAACCTCAATGGATGTTAATTGACATGAGACAAATGAATTTATTTTTTCAAGAGATTGAATGCCTATCATGTCACGAACAGGGGTCTTTGTTGTTTGAAAAGAGTGACAATTTTGATAGATTTGGATTTGCTGTAAACGTTATGTTGACATGTCAAAACTGTCAGATGTGAGTTGCCAAAAATTACACTTCACAAAGGTAAGGTAATCAATCTGGTACCAATCCCTTTCAGGTCAATGACATTTTTATGCTCTGTCAGAGGTAGGACTTGGTCATGCTGCAATGAAAATGTTTTGTCTGGGTTTTGGAATGGAAGGTCTCCATCCTAAGACATTTCAACAAAAACAAAACATTCTTTCACAGGTTGTTGTTGAAAATACTAAGGAAGTTTTGTCAACATCAGACATTGTCTCGATGCAGAAATTGCAGAAAAGATGGTACCTGTGTATCAAAGAATGTCTGATGAAAACCTCCTTAAGAGGATGGTGAAAGGCAAGACACAGAATGCTAATGAATGCTTGCATTCCGTGATCTAGTCCCGTTGTCCGAAGACCGTCTTTGTGGGTGCAAGGCGGTTGCATCGGGCAGTGGCGTCTGCAATAGCTTCGTTCAATGAGGGTACATGTCACATTACTCAGGTAATTAACAAGCTTGCAATAGAAGCTAATGAAATAACAGCAGCTTCTATTGAAAGACTTGATAATGTGAGAACCCTCAAAGCAAGGAAGCAAAGCCAGGAGACATCTAAGATAGAACGTAGTGCAAAGTGGGAGGCTAAAAAAAGGGACCGAGTTCATGTTGAGGCAGCTGAAGGCTTGTTGTATGGTGCTGGGGAGTTTTAAGTCCTGTTATTTCTTTGTACATGCATTGTTTTATGTATCTTGAATACATCCCATCAGTAAACTAAGATTTTGTAAGTGTTTAATAGGTGCTGAAGGAAGAAAACCATATACAAACTTATTTCCTCATTTTCTCCATTAACGTCATTTTGGATCTTAGTGAACATAGATCTCAACCATTATTGGCCCGATTTGAATGAAATTTGGTGTACATATAGGCAGAGGATTACTTTACACAATAACAGAGAGACTTTTTAAAATTTGTTTGCCATTTCGATTTTAAAAAATAAATTATGGGTAAAAATCAACCTAAAAAATGTGAAATTTTGAAAAATTATTTTAAAAATATATACCAGTCTTTTTTCAATTTTTCTGTCTGTCATTGTACCCAACACCATACAAGCTTTGTTATACAATTGAAATTATATAAATATCTTTATTGGTCTTAGAGAAAAACTGAAACTAATTTCAATCTTTTTCAGGCTTGCGGCGGCCATCTTGGATGTTTCCATGGCAACCGGTGGCAACATCACCTGGAAAAGACTCCATTTCAATTGTTAATATGTATACCTCAAAGTTGTAACCAATTAAAACTAACAAATACTTGTGAAGCATTTTGTCAATTGTAAGGTGCAGTGTCTGGCCTTAAGCTTTCGTTCAAAATATATAATTTCCTAAACTGCGATGTATAACAACATTGTATTTTATTACACCGAAAATAGTATGATTGGGGGTAATTATTACCAAACCCACCTCCAGAATACAACAGTTTTTTACCCCTGTCAAGGAGAGTCCACAAAAACAAAAATAGTCACGAGTCTGTATTTTGTTGATAGAGTTACTTCCCTTTGCGCTCTTGTCTGATAAATATAAATCATCTGACAATAACCACTTCTGAGTATACAGTGATCCCTTGCTACAACCCTACCTTCGGGGTCCAAATAATTGATGAGCATTATAGATGATCAGTGGTTTAACGAACCAACAAAACAGTATACATGCTCTGCCTACCTAACACGATCTACGTTGAACATTTCAGAGTTTCAAAAAGGATGAGAATGGAAGTTATTTATGATTCTAGTGTAAAAAAAGATTTATCGAGTATAATATGCATTTTAAAAGAACAAGACACATCGTATCCCTTCAGGTGAATAAGCAGATAGATCTATAACAAACTTGATCAATAAAAGTATGAAATTTGATATAAAACATCACTCGACATGATGATTTGCCATTTAAAATGTATTTCCTGCTCTCAAAGGCATTGTTTTATATGCAGAGATTAAGATTACCGTGTGTATTTTCTTGTAAACTAAGCCGGAAATAGCAATCAGCTGTGATTATCATGTAATAGTGACTGTTGCAAGTATTGTGGAGTATTGAGCATGTTGGGCCACCAAATCACACATCATCTGGGGGCTGCTAACTAGAGCGCTTGTGACTCAAACCAGCAACATCTCCCCAGGTGATGTCTCTAACCACAGGGCAGATGAGATTTGTAGAGAGCTGGTACACATGTACAAGTTACACACAACACACCTATTCACATGTCTCGGGGTAGTAGCCATCTCACATTTAAAATAATCAAGCTTGAAACATTAACGATTATGTGAAACCCAAGCTAAATAAAGTTAAAAAAATGAAAGAAAACAAAGAATAAAAATTAAATTTGGTGAGCCTTTAAAAAACCGTCATGCCATGAAACACACTGACATTAATGCAGATTCAAGATAGCTTGCATAGTTTTCCCCACACAACAGTTCAAAGGGAAGTAACTCTAACAAAGCAGAGAATCATGTACCCCATTCATAAAAGTTTATTCTTGAGGGGTCTCCTTGACAGGAGAATAAAGTTATTTTTCTCTTGAGGGAAAGTTTATATTTGATTATTTTTTAAGTAACTTAAAACTGGTTCATCCGTGACATATTGACAGTCACCTCTACAAAGCTGTAGTGTTAGGTGTAACAATGTTGATCCATGACATATTGACAGTCACCTCTACAAAGCTGTAGTGTTAGGTGTAACAATGTTCATCCGTGACATATTGACAGTCACCTCTACAAAGCTGTAGTGTTAAGTGTAACAATATTCATCCGTGACATATTGACAGTCACCTCTACAAAGCTGTAGTGTTAGGTGTAACAATGTTCATCCGTGACATATTGACAGTTTTTTTTGTTTTTTTTACAAAGCTGTGGTGGTAGGTGTAACAATGTTCATCCGTGACATATTGACAGTCACCTCTACAAAGCTGTAGTGTTAGGTGTAACAATATTCATCCGTGACATATTGACAGTCACCTCTACAAAGCTGTAGTGTTAGGTGTAACAATGTTCATCCGTGACATATTGACAGTCACCTCTACAAAGCTGTAGTGTTAGGTGTAACAATGTTCATCCGTGACATATTGACAGTCACCTCTACAAAGCTGTAGTGTTAGGTGTAACAATGTTCATCCGTGACATATTGACAGTCACCTCTACAAAGCTGTAGTGTTAGGTGTAACAATGTTCATCTGTGACATATTGACAGTCACCTCTACAAAGCTGTAGTGTTAGGTGTAACAATGTTGAAATGAACTGGGAAATATTTGGTTCCAATTTGGGAATATTTACATATTGAAATATACTGAAGACTTGGGGCTGAATAATTCAAGGCAGAAATTGAAATTTCTTTTAATACTTATTACTTGCTTGTTAGTTTTTAACGTTAATTCAGCACTATTCCACCTAAGTGAATCTTGGACTGTTGATAATGCTGCTGATAAATGGCCCATAGCACCATCAGTGACTTACTTGAAGAGTTTCTTGAGCTCGTCCCTGCCCGGCTGTGTCTGCAGCCTCAGCTCCACCTCCACAGTGGCCTCCAGGATGTTCTTGTTACAGTCGGGCCCCGTCGTCGCCAGCGAGTCCCGCACCACGCCCAGGTAGTCTGTCACACAGCACTCAACTCATATATCATAATGTTTATTTCTGTGGTATGAGATTGATGATACAGTAAAAAACACTTGGTTAAAATCTCTATATATTATGAAACATTTATGGATAAAAAATTGTTGTTTAAGGCCCCGCTGTTCAAGCTATGTTACAGAGGCCAGCGTTAGAAATTGGCACTAGTCCTGCAGTCCCTGCCAAATTGCCCAATAGTTAAGGTATCATAAGCGGAAATTTGCCATTTTTATTGGTTTTGCTATACGTTATCATAAAAGGACTAGTGGACTAAAACTGTTAGTTTCTACCACTGAGAGAACTGCAAACAATCGTCTTGTTACAACAAACCAGTGATAGACTACAATTGACATGCATCAACCAAGTCAGCGAGCCTGTCCACCCTCTTATGACCAGCATGGGTTGCTGAAGACCCACATCTTCACAGGGTGAACGGAACGTGTCACAGATACTTACTAATGTGTCACAGATACTTACTAATGTGTCACAGATACTTACTAATGTGTCACAGATACTTACTCACAAAGTTGAGTTGAGCCAACACAGGTGCACTTGTTGCTACAGCACCGGAGATAAGATGTGGGTATTTCATCCTCAGCCAACCCGACAGCGACCCTACGGAGGAAACAGCACCAGGATTCTATCTGGGATTCCTTACAGTTAACTAAGTGCCATGGTAGGCAAACTGGGAAATCATTAACATTTCAACGATTGTATTTCTCACATTCAGAGGTATTTTAATATTACATTCAATTCAATAATGCCTCTTCCAATATATTGGTTTTTAGTAAAAAACAAGTCACCTCCATAAAGCCGTAACATTAGTTATGACTATATTTACATGAAATTGAGAAAAAAAAATTTCCACTTTGTGAACTTTGACTGACATAGGCTGCAGACTTGGGGCCGACCTTCCACCTCAGAGAAGGTCAGTGAATGAGATAAACTCTGCTTTGAACCAATCTCATTTAAATCAGATCATATTTCTTGCTACCGCTAAACAAAGATCTGAGGACATCCCATTAAGGGTCATGTCAGAATTCCAATGGAATGACTGACAAGAAGTCGACATTAGCTAATCAGAAAGCAGCTTTCTCTTCCTTTATGGCACAAGTTTCAAACTGGCCGGCTATGCTTTGAAATATATTTTGACAAATTTTCGATTAAAACTTCGAAAACTAAACAAACGAACATTTTGTAACGGCCAATAGATGCCACAGATTGTATGGATTCAGTCATAAAGCCAGTAACTGTCGTTTGGTATACCCTTTGTTAGATCTTTTCAGGTTGCATGATCAGAAATCACATTCTGACTGTCACTTTCCTGATCTGGTAAGCGACACTGATTGGTGGGATGAAAGGTCGTTCTGACGTGACCCATAATGGAATGTCCTCAGATCTTTGTTTAGCGGTAGCGAGAACTAAGATCTGATTTTAATGAGATTAGCATTGAACAGTCATTCAATAATAATACAAGGTGTCAGCTTATTGAGGGAACGAGTCAATGAGGTCTTGACAAAGGATAAGAATTGGGCAAATTTAGGATTCGAACCCATGCCTGTACGAAGAAACTCTTCACCATGTTGACAGCATCCTTAATCTATACCTCCTGGACTTGCACTTCAGTAAGCCTTCACTAACTCCTGGATCCATCCTCATGATTCTTGCTATATCATTAACATTTTACGGACAAATCAAATGTCAAGGTAAGGAAAAAGGAAAAGAGACTTGCCACCGCCAGTTTTACTGGACATGAAGACATTCATTCCAGCAAAGAGATTTTTGAGGGCTTGTTTTTGCGTGTCAGTCAATTTGTCAATGTTGAATTTCTTGCAAACTCTATCGAAATGAATGGGATTGGTTCCAATGTTGTTGATATCGCCAACCCAACATTGAGGCTGGTTTGTAATTTGCATCTTAGATTGAAGTTCTGGGCTCAATAATGAATCAAAGACATTGGAAATATTATCAGCAATAGAACAAAAAAATAAATCATATAAATGCTATTGTTCTGTTCCACAATGTGATTTTAGAACTAAGAAGACCGTGACTCCCATACTTTAACATAGATATACTATCATCAAAGCACTAAGAAGATCGTGCCTCCCTTACTTTAGCCATGCGAACATAAATTCAAGATGATGGTAGTACTAAGATCGTGACTCTTTTAATTTACATAACTTTACAATGATCGTAGCATAAGAAGTTACTCCCATACTTTAACATAACTTTATGATGATGGTAGCACTAATATGATTGTGACTCCCTTACTTAAACACACATTTACAAACATTGTAGCACTAAGATCGTGACTCCCTTATAACACAGACGTACAATGATTGCAGCACTGAAATTGCTTTGTGGACTGAGGTCCTGAAGCCTTAACTTCTCAAAGTACTGGGAGGTTGGTGAATCAGTGTTTGAAATAAAGGATAAAGTGATGGGGTCCTTGTCATAACCCTAATGTTAAATAAATAAGACTTCGGGGGCCCAAGATTCACCGCAGCAAACTTCACGGCCCCCAAAGTCCCCTCTCAATTTCAAACACTGTGAATCATTTCACAACCGTAGTTCATCCTGGGACCAACCTGGATAAGATCCTCCAAATGAAATCCATTTGTTGTCATCTAGGTTGAACTTGCTCTTGGCAAATTGAATGAAAGCTGCCAAATCAGCCAGAGCCTGCTCACTGCTCAAATACTGCAGACTGTCATCACTGATGTCTCTGTAACCATGGTAACAGCATATTTTCATTAAACATACTTAAATTTAAGATTTTCCGGGTCACAATACATCCCCAACAACCTATGCTTGCTTTACACGTGACTTAATGGTGGTCTGACACCATTTTAATACTTTATGTACTGTGCTGTCATCAGCAAAATCATTGTCAAATAGATTTGATACATCTGGCAGCCCAAGAATGCATGATTCTAATAGGACATAGTAGAGTGAGGGAGTGAGTTATTATTTGGCATCACATCAGCAATATTTCAGCCATAACGTGACGAGAAGTTATTTATTAGTAATGCACAGTAGAATATACTTTCACACATACGGTGTAGGATGACTCTTGCCGTAGAAGCGATGCTCCAGCTGGAAGCACATGGCGTTGAAGTTCTTGGCATACTCCACCCACATTCCGTCCACCATCCATATGGGGTCTGCAGTGCCCTCCCCACCGATCATCAGGAACACAGGGCCACCCGGCTTGAAGTACTTCTCATTCACAAAGTATCTCTGAAAAAAAGACATCAGTCAATAAACACAATACTCCAATGTTCCATGGCAAATCTTGAAAATTCTGCACACATATCTGCAAACTTGTAAGCTTAGTTTCATTTTTCTTCCACAAAACACAAACACCTAAAATGATTATTCGGAATGATTGAATTTATACAATACACAATTCAAATAATGACTTTGTTTCAAAAAACCAATGCAACCTTTACCTTCTTTCAAATTTGATATTGAAGGAGATCACATTGTGATACTCTTTTCTATTTCAGTATTGCATCATATAATAACATGCTTAAGTTAAAACAATGTTTTCAGATGCAGTAATTGCAGCTAAATAAATAACAGACTGATCAGTGATGATTACTGACGGGAAGAAGGGGTGGTGGTTGCTGTGGGGGTCAAGTCATGATATATCTCTCCATAACCATTTTACATCAACAATGAAAAATCACCTCAAAAGGTATTAAAGTCATGAAAACGAAGCAAATATATAGGACTGTTTGATAGGCATTTCTTGGAAGACACAATTTGGTGATAACAACTTTTGTATTTACTGTAAGGGTGACGTTTCGGCATAGATCGTTATACTGTTGTCAAGCAAGGCTGAATAATGAAGCATGGTACAGAATATATATGGCAGGTGAAGGATTAACAGTAACAACAATTGCATCCATGCGAGAGATTAACATGAGTACAAGAAACAATATGATGGACAGAGAACAAAGAATCAAAGAGCAAAAAACCTCAACCAGGAAAACACACGATAAATCAGACATCTCGAACCATATCAGCAGCTGCCCTAATCACAACATCAATTTGGAAACATCCAATTCCTCTCAAACAACCTCCATGACTTCACGAAGAGAAAACTAACAGAAGCAGAGTACATTCGCTGCCACAAGCCATCAATCAACAGAGATCAAGGCTATTTCATCCCATCCGCCCACTGTGAACTGATTAAGCACAATTCTACCATGAATTTGGAATTTACTCGATTCTGATTGGTCAATCAGAGGCTATTAAATCACAATAAACCCCCTCTGATTGAAACAGCTGGTTTGACGGCCGCTTCACCGCGGAAGCTAATATTCGTAGAATGGTACTATTTTCAGTCATTGTCGGTAGGCGTATTTAAATAATTATATCTGCAATTACAGGTTACAAAATGCACAGATGCGGTTAATACAATATACAAAGGATGTGTGGCAATACATTTTGTGCAGAAAAACACGACAGAAATCAACAAAGGGAATGTATTTACGTTTTGGAGACAACAGAGAGCTTGGAATTTTGGCGCTTTTCTATATATGACTGTGACGTCATATCTTTTGCGTCACAATGAGCGGCATGACGTCATAATGGTGACGTGCGATGTAGAGCGAAAGCCTTGCAAAGCTTGCTTTGTTTTCTCTACGGATGCCCACCTCATGTTTGCTTACCAAGTTGCCGTGCTTATATGCTTTCAATGCCTGTCATATGTTCGATTGAAGTATTACGGTATAAACAAACTGCTTGAGGATATACAGCACCATATTTTTTTTTCGGTGATTCCGTAATTCAGATCGATAACGCACTCAAAACACTGAACTCAACCCATGACGCTTCACTCAGTATATTTGCTAACACCAAAGAGTTCGCATTTTATTTAGTCATGGTAGAATGGAGATAAACATACTGTGTTTTCAATGTAGAGCTAGGTTACCTGTAGATTTAACCCCGCTAAATTTAACATTTGAAACCTCACGCTGCGCGTTCGGTTCCAAATTCAATTTAGCGGGGTTAAATCTACAGGTAACCTAGCTCTACATTGAAAACAAAGTATGTTTATCTCCTAAATCATCCCACCTATGTTCACTTAGTCCTGTCTTATTGGATTCCTTATCATGTGTTCTCTGTCCATCATGATGCTATAGTATTGGAATCTTGTGGGAAGAGTTCATTTTACTTAAGGGATAAGGGTACAAGTGTGATGTGCACTCATCCATAAATTTGTTTTGATAGTAGTGTAGGCGATCTGAGGTGTAGGCCAGATGAGGACAGGCCATGGTATTATCCTTCTGTTGTAATTATTTAATCAACTCATGTTAATCTCATGTTTGAGGACATCATAAGTTTTCAAGCGCCATGTTTATCGTGATTACTCAGGCTTTAACAAGGGGTGTGACGCCACACAAACATTGTAAATACTAGGATGATTGCTTGATTTTAAGAAAGAGTTTTCTTTCATACGCGGGTAATTTTAGCATGAATAATATGGGGATATGTAACTATTCCACCGCCATCTAAGAAAGAAAATGTGGCAAAGGTGTGTTTAGACAGTAACCAATCAGCATTTTTGTTAGCATTCAAATAAAGTTAAATTGAACAATCACAGGGGCTTGTAACACACCTAGTGTCAGTAAACTATATAAAAGGATCCTTTTTATATAGTATGCGGGTCAACACTGGGTTTGACCATATATCTTGCAGCTGCTACTTTTTGTGTTACAAGCCCCTGTGTGAACAATAAAACCATCCCCTCCACATTCTTTAAATTATTTGCTCTTTTAAATGTGTTTTAACCCTCAAACAGTACTGCTGAACACCCTCAACCTCTCCCCTCACCAACACACCCATCCTAATGAGAAAAAAATGTTGGTTCATTTTATGCACAGGAACTCAATGATAGCCAGTATAGCATAATATATTCGTATAGAAAAAAATCACACCCTCTATGTCTATATATATAGAGGGGTATGAATTTCTTTTCTATACGAATATATTATGCTATAGCCTATAGTATAGGCCTACTCGCTATCATCGAGTTCCTGTGATTTTATGGTGGGTTATTCCTACAACTCGATCGACTGATGAAAGTAAGGCGATCGCGATGTATGAAACATAAAGACAAGTGGTTCCTTAGTTTGCTCTCAACATTACCTGCTGCCATGTCTGTGTGTTGGCATCGTTGAAGTGGTCTAATGTCTGCTCCATCCACATATCGGGTGGGAGGGGGTCTGTGGAGAGTCGTTTGGACGCCGGACGACCCACCATTCCCCCTCTCGGTCTTCCATTGAGGAATCTAGGTACGTAACCAGCCGATGCATGAAGGCACGCCAAAACTACCACGACAACAAATGCCAGTTTTTGCATGTTGATTAATACCACGTCTACCTTGTTACGATGATGGCAATCAGCTGGGCCAACCCACTCATGTGATAAGCGGATAAGCACTCTTAGTGCACGTGACTGTCATATGACAAAATGACAAGCTCCTAACAGCGATAATCCCTGAGCTCTCCAAACATTGTATCGAAGAGGCAAAGTCACGCGCTGGTTTGGAGCTTGAAAATTGAGTAATCTTTAAGACACAAATGCGGTGAGGATGGATTTGAATTCGACTGTTTCCACTTGGTTAATATGCAATCTAATATATATATATATAACACCGATATATTATGATCAGTTGGAATGTTTTCATTTGAAGCGCATTTTATTTCAAGATATAATGGGCGTTTGTCCGTAATCATGGCATTATTATTAAATTACTGCTCCCTCGGGTTTATCCAAAACACAACTTTGAATGGCTCACACGGATCACGAATGTTCGGGACACTTCAGTGCCCCATCGGTTCATCAGACACTCGATGAATTAGAATTTGAGCGGGGAATCTGGTCTGCCGCATTAAATGGAGATCTGACAGAAGTAAAGCGACATCTACTCAAGGATATAGACGCGGACAAAACAGACAAATCGGGCTACACCGCTTTGGTACTTGGGTTTGTACAAAATGTAACCCTCAGGACGACTGATGATAGCTCACTCTCAAATTAGTATAAATAAACATTATTCAGTGGAATAGATTAAACTTGTTTGATATGCATTTTAATTAAATATAATAATTATTATGGGGAAAACTGGAAAACGTGCGGAGCTTCATTTGATTGTGACAAAAATAGAAAACGGAGACAATTTACACAATAAAAACAAATACATGTGCGTTGGTTATGGTCGGTAGAGATGTGCACGTATTGAGTCAAGATGTTAATCGACCAAAAGCCAAGTTGTGTCATGCGGCATTCTTTCTTAATGTTTCAGCATTATGCCAGCAGGAACGGTCACTTGGACGTAGTTCGGACACTAGTGGACGCTGGTGCCCACGTGGATGTGGCCACAAAGTCTGGACAGGCCACGCCCCTTCACCGAGCTGCGTACATGGGTCACACTGACATTGTCAAGTTCCTCTTGAGCCGCAGGGCTAACCCTGTGTCACGTGATTTGGACGAAATGACCCCACTGCACAAGGTGGGCACAATAAATTAGAGCAATTTTAATTTAATTGCGTTTTAAAAATTTACAACCTGTAACAACTCAAGATATCGCCAAAAAGTGTATTTTAATGGAATATTATTGCAAAAGATCAATTGAAATAACAAAATAAATTGCTTCATGATGAGAAAGGCTTGGTTGTGGTATGGTTGTACAGATTGAAGCATGGCGATAATTATTAAAAAATAAATATCGTTATTACATCTTGTCTTGATGTATCACATACGGTGGAAACTTTTAAACATGCCTTATGGACATTCACGTTTGTGTATTACGCCGCTCTCAGCAATATTCCAGCTATATGACAGCGGTCTGTAAAACAATTGAGTCTGGACCAGACAATCCAGTGCTTGACATGATGAACATCGATCCACAATTGGCCCACAATGACATGCATAAACCAAGTCAGCGAACCTGTTTCATGTTGAAGTATTTAAGCTAAAGGTCTACTGGTTGGCTTAAAATGTCCAATAGACTGGACAGCAGAAAGTAAAAATGTTTTGAACACCCACCGAAAACTATCAATACTTAATGTTCGTTTGTTGTTAACGCCACACTCAACAATATTCATGCTCTATGGCGGTGGTCTGTATATAATCGAATCTGGACCAGGCAATCCAGTGATGGATATCATGAGCATCGATCTACGTAATTGGGATACAATGACAGGCATCAACCAAGTCAGCAAGCCTGACTCCGGATCCCGTTAGTCGCCTCTTACGGCAAGAATGGGTTGCTGAAAACCTATTCTACCCCGGATCGTCAGGGGGCTGAGTTTAATGAGACTGGGAAGTTAATGATTAGATAGCTCTTGTAGCAAGGCATATACGGTATTTATCATGATGGAATGGAAATCTAAACCTGTTCTACTTTGGATAATCAAGAATGTACGGGTACCCCTCGTGCGGATTCCGGGTTAGAACAGGTCTCCTGCAAACTATGCCGGTTTGGAGCGGCGATCAAATGGATCGGGTGGTCAGGCTCGGAGATTTGGTTGATTGTGCCCTATGATACGCCGAGGGCATAGATTGGGTATTTGATATTTGAATTGTCTGGTCCAGACTCGATTATTTACACGCCCCGTCATATAACTGGAATAAAATTGAGTGCGGCGTTAAAAAACAAACAAACAAATCCGCTTTAAAGACAAGATACAGACAAGTAATGCATGCACGTTTCTCCCCAGGCATCAGAACGAGGTCGGCACGAGTGCGTGACGATCCTGCTGGAGGCGGCCTCGGTTGCCAGGACTGCACGTGATTCCAGAGGACGCACGCCGTCAGATTGCGCCACTGATGAGGCCATAAAACTCCTGCTTTCCTGACTCGTCACGTTGAAATATTCACACTTTTGCTGTATCTACATTCCGTAGGAAGTCCCAATGACTGTCCACTCCAGAACAGTATATAGTATGTACAATGGAGACGCCGCCAGGCCATACGAGGACTTTCTCCAACTTTAAGGACACCCCAACTGTTAAACTTTGACCTAGTGCTCTTATCGTGGAAAATATCTGAAAACCTATTCAAGACCTCTTTGCAGTATGTGTATATACTGTGTGAGTCAGCATTGAGTGAGGCATGACGAGTGTAATCTGCAGCTTCAGCCTGGCTCCAGTAGCTCTTTGAAATTCTGCTTAATTTCTCGGGGCCCTCAACGAGAATTTTGTTAGTTAAATATGGTGCTCCGAATAAGGATATGTAATATGTTTATTGGTTTTTCTCATCAAAGGATTTTATACATTTTCTTCAAACTTTAACGATTATGAAAATATTTAGTTGTCAATTTCACGCTATTCTGTCATGTGTCGACGCAGCCGTTGCCGATCATCACATGTCTTTTTAATCACACAAGCGCAACCCAAATATCTTCCGACAGAATTTGAAACCATTCACTGTTGCTTCGACAGCCTCCATGGTCTAGTGGATAGAGCGTCTATTGTGAGGGCGGAAGGTCGGTCTTTTTATCACTTGGCCGCGTTGTACCAAAATATGGTAAAAAATTGTACTTCGTATTACCCTGCCTGGCGTTCGGCATTAGGGAATTAAACAAAGACTGGTCATCTTGGAGTCAGTTCCATGTGTCTGATGGGGCATCCGTGTTAGGAAGAGGCGTGGTGTCTCAGTGGGCAAGTTCTATAAAAAAAGGCAAAAGTCCGGACTAGTACACGCGGCTACACATACAAGTGCATGCACATGCTATATAAGTGGAATGACCTAGAACGTGAAGTTAAATACTATTTCAACCTCACCTCTGCGGTTGTTTCGTTGAACTCAGAATCTCATCATCACATCGTCATATGTACCAAACGTAATGTTTGTTTATTTATGTACATATTTCATCAGGGCGTCTCCTGGCCACCAATAATAAAGACACATTAATGCATATTAACCTTTAATTACCGAAGCGTCATGTTGTATTTTGATATGGGTGCGGCTGTTGTTTTGGGGAGTTTGAGGACGACGAGGATCTGACGTCTTCTGAATATAAACGCTGCATTTGGCTTGATTTTTAGGTGGATTCCTCCATATTTTCACAATGTGCTTAGAACTTTGAATCAAGAATCGATTTCAGGATTCAATGAATGCGTTGCTAGTAACAGAACATATCATGCTACACTGGTCAATGGCAGCATGTAGGTCACTAGTCAGGGGTGTTAGGAGAAAGGGGAATTTGGCTGGTTGATTTTGAGGGTTAGATTATCTGATTATTTGTACATATTACTTATCCCCCTTTCGAAACATGACACGGAAACGTCTACGAACACACAAATGACAGTTCTCCGTTGGGGCTTTAAATAAAAGCAAAACAAATTGAGCATACACGCAATTGTAGACACTTTATACATTCAACCCATTTGGTCCCGATGTTATTTCAGGATATCGTTGGCGACTCGTCGATGGAAACATGCCACTGCTGTGACCGGAAATACCCTCCGCTTCAGTCTGTAAGATGCAGTTAAGAAGGTACCCTGCTACATCAGTGCAATGACCTTGAAAGCATCGTTAACCTGCATTTCACCTCATCACAATGTCACGAACAATAGTTTTAGCTATGTATGTGTACTGCAGCAAGCATCAGGCATATGGGTGCGGTGTTGGCAATACACACATATATATACTAGTATATGGCCATATTTGTTTTATTATAATGAACAGCTTTTATTTCATGATACTGCAGATTCACGTACGTTTGAAAAGTCTTTCTTACCATACAACTGACAATATTCAGTTCAATTCAATTCACAATACAGTTTGGCTTCACTCAACATTTTGGGGTACACCGAAGACTTTACGTTTAATTTTAGAAAAAATCAATTTTGAAATTATCCGCGCAAATTTGTTATAATTACAAAAATACTGCTGTGGGGAAGCAAAACAGGACAATAAAGAATATTACGTTCCTGTACACACTTAAATTAATATATTATATGCCCGCTTCAATCACTTTCATCACAATGATAATCATCATATGGCGTATTTTAGTTACAATAATTTCATTTCTACACTTTACATGTAGGCATTTAGATATTTATTTTACAGAGTTGAAGCGAAATATTTAAACACATTTAAGAATTCATTCATTGGAGTATTAACCTTCATAGAGTGAGGACTAAACTGGATGAACGTCGGAGCTTGCACTCACACAAGTGAAAGTGAATTCTTATATTTTTTTTATTACATACCCGTGAAGAGATCACCCGTTTAATAAACATACAGCTGTATTACACATTGTGAAATACCAAAACGCGTGCTCATGTACTCTTGGAACACGTTTCACGAACAAATATTGAAAACTTCCAACATCCCTTGGCTTATTCAACGACATTGCGTGTGGAGATGATAGATCACTGAGAGGAGCTCATGCACACTCGATGACCCCAGCAATCTTGTTGCTAGGCTAACGTCACATGGCATTGTTTCGCCGAAGGATCTTGCAACAAAATTCCACAAATTACGTCATCGGGTATTGTGACGTGATTGTAAACTTTGAGGTGCAAGGACCCGTTCCACAAGGCGATCGTACGGTAGCGCAACGGCACTCGTTGGTCTAAGTTAAAGTATGTGAGTTGCGATAACCTTAACGCTACGATAATTTTGTGGAACGGACGCCTGAATTCTAAAGGTGGACCGTTGTTTGGTATTAAATTCATACGTTTCAACTTTTGACGTGTTTGAAGTATTACTGTGTTAAACTCAATTCGATTATGCCGTGGATCGCGTAGGTGTCAGCATATTCCCACTCAATAGTATAATTCTAAAAAACGTTATAAATGGCCAGTAATAACTAAAATACTAAACTCGCTCCCGTGTAAAACCAATTTTATGAAACTCGTGAATAGTTGTGGTATCTGACGAGCGAAAGCGAGTCAGATACCAGAACAATTCACTCGTTTCATAAAATTGGTATTACACAGGGGCTCGTTTAGTGTTCTATATTTATCATCCAAAACTGGCTCCCACAGGAGATATCGCTTGGGTGAGATCAAGCGATATCTACATTGTAATTGCAGACCACTGTGACGTCATTGGTTACCATGAAGCCACAAAAAATGACATCACTAATAGCTCTGCTTCTGAAGCTGTTAGTATTACTTTTTACACTTAAGACACTGCTTATTACTGTCTACAAAAATTGCAAAAGTTTGAAGAATGATGTTAAATGATAAATAAAATCTCAACAAGCAAGCCTGGGAATTTTTCCACTTTTATAAACTTGTGTTGATATATTTGATATCAAAAGACACTCGGGTGAGATTCTCTATTCATCATATAATGGGTAGGTTTCTCGGCAGGATAAAGCCAACGGATAACAGCGATATCCGTTGGGGTCATATGCGAATAGAGATGCAAATATCAAAGGTCAAGTAGTGACTACTTTCACTGTTTATAAACAAACATGGCGTCGCCCTCGTCATTCGGCGATCGAGTCAGATTTAACCGTCGGGAATCTGGATAAACTACAGAGATAATTGCTTTCATTATTAAAAGAACAGACTAATATACTGAAAATCAGTGTCTTACTGTGACGTAGCTAAAAATTCATTGTTGCAAGGTGTTTTAACATTGTTTTCTATTTAGGCTAATAGTCTTTATTTAAGAAATATCAGGTTTTGCAGCTACACAAATGTCCTCAATTCATCCCCTCAAATGATCCGTCCCTTAGACACAATGGTATGAGACGACACCAGTGTTGGTGTAACGTACATGTAAATATTTGAATTTCCACTGCTCGCCGTAAAAGGCAACCGAATCGGGCAGCCCGTTTGTCGTGTCTTGCGTCCCAGTGTCGGCGGAGGAATAGCTTTCCTTTGCCCAATACACCACTTCGACCCTTACTTCGCCTAGACGGGTGGTAGGATAGGCCCGATCCTATCAATCGGCTGGTCATGTCAAGGCCTGTGCATAAAATTGTGTATGCACATTCGTGATTTATATGCATGTATTGTTTGGTCTTGGCCAGTATATAACATATTTGAACTCACAAATTATTTATGTAACAAATTACTAACTACAAATATTCAATGGAATATTCGAAAATGGAAGTACTATAGACCATTCAGTACGACTAGAATCCTTTGTCACAAATGCTATTGTAAACAAACAACATGTAGTATCTGTTTTCCTCAATCTTGAGAAGGTCTACGATACTACCTGGATTTTGGTTTGGTTTGGCTTGTTGTTTAACGCCGCACTCAGCAATATTCCAGCTTTATGACGGCGGTCTGTAAATAATCGAGTCTGGACCAGACAATCCAGTGATTAATATCATGAGCATCGATCCACGCAACTGGGATCGATGACATGCATCAACCAAGTTAGCGAGCCTGACCACCCGATCCCGTTAGTGGCCTTTTACGGCAAGCATGGGTTGCTGAACACCTATTCTACCCCGGATCGTCACGGGTCGATACTACCTGGAAGTAGGACCGCCTCCGTGGTCTAGTGGTAGAGCGTCCGCCCGGAGAGTGTAAAGTTCGGGGTTCGATCCCCGGCCGCGTCATACCAAAAGACGTTAAAAGATGGTACTTGTTGTAACCCTGTTTGGCGCTCGGCATTAAGGGGCTAAAACAAGGACTGGTCAGCTCAGAGTCAGTATACTGTGTCTGAGTGGGGTATTCATGTTAAGCTGCGGCATGGTATCTCAGTGAGCTAGCACTATAAATCGGCATCAGTCCGGACTAGTACATACTAGTAAACTTTCCTTCTGTTCATGGAAATTCCTGCATTCTGATTAGCTGAATTGGTCACGTGTTATTGCATTCATTTCCCAATGAATGTAAAGAATTCGGCCGCGCCCACCGAGGTGCACTACTTTTATTACTGCGGAATGTCGGGGAATCCCAATATTACAGTCGAGGGAATTCCCTTTCTGCTCACGTGTATCGTCATGCACAGGACATTTAGCGACTTTCATGCATATTCATTGTCCAAACTACCGTTTGAAACCGAAGGCCGAGAATGAATGAAACAGCAAACGTGCAGGCTCGCTCGCCTGTTTTTGTCCCGCCCGCCTCGGTTCAACTTTAATGTCTTCGGGTTTCATTTCTAACTAGCATTTCTCCATCCGTGTTTTACCGTAATCAGGGAAGTAATGTTTGAATCTGGCGGTAACTGACCATGTTATTTGAAACAGCCGCCTTCTCCCGGACATATTTCTTCCGGTTCGTTACAGTCTGACTGTTGCGGGGCGGTCGGGTAGCCTAGTGGTTAAAGCGTTAGCTCGTCACGCCGAAGACCCGGGTTCGATTCCCGACGTGGGTACAATGTGTGAAGCCCATTTCTGGTGTCCCCCGCCGTGATATTGCTGGAATATTGCTAAAAGCGGCGTAAAACCATACTCACTCACTCACTCACTCACTCACTCTTTCACTCACTCACTCACTCACTGTTGCAGTTCTTTTCGCCTCTTGCCTTAATTGACAGGTACAATGAACATTGTTTTGATTCTACTCTCCGTTGAGCTAATGATGGTGTAGGCGTGTCAAGTTATGGGCATTACTTAAACGATCACCTGATTCATGCCACGCCACAGTATGTATTCCTACACCTGTAATGCTTATCAATCTCGTCATTTTTGTCTGTTTTGATATGTACAACTGTTTTTGATTAAACTATTGTAGATAAAACATGTTTTACTTTGTCGAATTTAATTATAGGCATTGACTGTGTATTTGTTTCGGTTCATTGAGATACGAATCGAAAAACCGATGTGCAAACGCTACGCGGATTCATACAGTTTGCACATCGGCTTTTCGATTCATCCTCAATGAACCGAAAAAAACCCATAGTCAATCCTTAAAGTGGCACGCTTATATCAAAAATGAGCGGGCCACTGTAACTTGATAATGCCCTCATATTAATTGACGACGGGCCATTATCACGCCCGTTGTTAG